TAGAAAATATGAAAAAGTGGTTAGCTTCTCTCATATCAGATGGTTCCCCCAAATAGCTTGAAATTAGAGCACCTATCGAGAAGAAGGATCTAAACATAGCTGCAAGGTTCTGGTTTGGCTTCATCAGTACTACTATTATACCATCCCAGAGCTAGTTGATTCTCCGGCATGCCAAGGCATCCTGTCTGGGTTGCATCATTGATGTGACGAGGCTCAATCTAGGGATGGTTATAGCACAAGAAATTGTCATAAGGGCCAAGCAGCACCAGATCTCACTTTCCATCTTGGTGTTGGTCACCGAACTATGCAAATGGGTTCGAGTTTTGAGAGATGCAACGAAGGATGTGGAAGTGATTCCCACATCCTCTACTGATATCCGAAGGATTGAGGCATAATATTTGAAAGATGAAGCAGAGAATAAGAAGAAGAAGAAGAAGAAGGTAGCTCCGGTGGATGTTTCCCTAGTTGTGGACACAGACTCACTATCTGTAGAGGCAGTTTTGCCTACTCGGACCCCTGGGCATTCAGGTACTTCTTGTGATGTACCTTCTGACATCCCTAGTTCTTCTGTTGTTGCACTGCTTCCTAAACCTGTTGTTGTTGTCACCCGGACCCCATTTACTCCGGATAGGGGAGCTTGCCCATTCTGTCGATCGTCAGGCTGCCAGACTCAAGGCCTCCATTTTAGGTATGATTCAGACAGCCTTGGCTGATGTTGTGACACTATTGAGCGCTACCATTGACTCCCTTGCAACTAGGATAGCGGTGTGTGAGCATGGCCAATGGGCCACCGAAGAGGTGACGACTTTAAAAGCCGTTATTGTTGTGTTGAGGAGCAATGTGGATCAGCTGAAGTCCATCGACATATCCATGATTTTTGGGACGGTGGAGATCCTAGATGTACCAGATATCTCCGGCTACCACCAGAGATGAGATTATAGTGGATCAGGCAGTTGATCCTGAGTCTGAGGTGGAGACGGATGAGGAGATGCTTGAGGTTGCTAAGGAAGCTTCGTATGAGGGCCTTACTGAGACCGAGGAGGCCATGGTAGATACAGTTGTGGAAGATTCTTTGGCGGATACACCCTTTGCTGATCCTAGTGCAACTACTGTTCCTTTGAAGTAACTCCGGGCACTGATGCCCAGATAGATAGAGTGACTAAGTAGATAGGATCCTTTCGTTAACTCCCTCTCTCTCTTACTTTATTTTAACTTATGGATATTTTTGTTTGCATTTGAAGACAAATGATTTAATTTGTTGTGGGGTGAGGCCCACCTTTTGTGACTCTCTTATTTTGTGAATATATTTGGGTTTTGAGCTATAATTTCTTGTTACATTGTTTTTGTGGATGATTGAGCTTGTGGCTCCTTCCTTTTTATTGTAAATGATATTTGGACCCTTCTGAAAAAAATTATGCCACCTCCTGTTTATGTTTGAATGTGGTTGTTCTCTTGCAAATTTGAGTATCGGTCTTAATCAATACTGATGATTTGAATAGTGCTCATAATCGAACAAAAATAAATATGCAGCTATGATGAGGGCAAATGAAGTTGCACGACAATATGTGAACTCTTTGCATCTCGTTGTGACTAGCCAGCTATCAAATTGATCTCTTGTGATAATTATTGTACACTAGCAAAAGTGTAGAGTCTTGTTTGACATTGGTGTCAATGCCTTGTGTGATGAGCTAACTGTGAACCATGAATGATGACACCTAGAATTTGCCCTGTTGGTCTGGTTGACTAATTGATGCAATCTCTTGATATGATCTTAGGATACTTTGAAGAGTGTGAAAAAATTTGACATTATACCTCTTTTGTGGCCTACCTTGTGAGTGTGTGAACCCCGTTTAAGCACCCTTTGAGCCTTAGCCTTTTCTTGAAAAAACCTTGATGAAATTGTGACCTTTCTTGACCCATTACCCATAATCCTCATGATTTGTAGTTTGTTTGAATAGCTAACTTAGGCCCAAAGCCTAAGTTGGGGGTGCAGTGAAAAGACAAGGTAAATCAAGAAGTGCAAGAAAGTCCCCTTTGACCCGTGGTTTTCAGAAAAATGGAAACCCTCCATATAAAAAAAGGAGAAAAAGAAAAAAAGAATGAAAAAGTTGTGGAATAAAGTTGTGAAAGTGCAAAGAAAATGGGGTGTCCAAGAAATCCATGGAAGATGAATAATGGGGTGACTATTGAGCAGGAATGAGAATGATGAAGAAAAGGAAAGAAAGTGTTGTTTACACCGCATATCATGAAGATTACATCCATTGAGCCTAAATGACTATACCTTTGCACTCAGCCCCGTTACAAGCCTTGAAAAGACCTTTTTGATCTTGAGTGAGCTGAAAAAAGGGTTGATTGGAAAATATGGGCAAACTAATAGGTGAAGTCATGCATTGTGTTCATCTTTGTGAGTGTGAGCATTGCATTTAATTTCGGAGCTTTAAAATTATGAACCATTTTGTGTGAATATGGAATCATTCTGTGTGACGGAATTTGAGTACCTTTCTTGAGTTTGAACTTTCATTTGAAGCAAGTATTGTGAGCTTGAGATTCTTTGATATTGGTAAGTCACAACTTGAATCTTTGAGTGCATAATTGATCTTTGCATGAGTAAGTTGAGTCTTCTTGTGTGCATTCATGATTGAGTCTTGTGTAGCACTGTTTGAGACATCCTTTTTGAACTGTTAAACTTGAGTTTTACTTGAGGACAAGCAAAAGTTTAGGTTAGGCGTGTTGATGAGTCTACGATTTGGACTCAATTAGGGCTTCATTTTAATAGATTTAGTGTCCTCAATGGCATATTTTGTGCCAATAACTGATGTAAATCCTTGATTTTCAGGCATTTGGATTGAGGAACAAAGCATGGACACGAATGAGCAAAACGTAACAAGGCAACTAAAAGAATGAAGAAAAGAAGGCCTAAGGATCGCCTAAACCATTGGGCGAGTAACCGAATGGCTATGGTCTCGCCTAATGTTCCAGTGTGCCAAGCCTTGAAGGAGAAAATCAAGTCGGTGATAGAAAGAAGTAGTTGGAGAGTTGCTGAACGGTTCCGTGATGCAGTTTTATATCGCCAAAGTTACGGAGCTTGAAGTTGTTGAAGGCCAAAGCAAAAAGGCGATGGAATTAAGCAAAGGGTGGATCACCGAGTGGATCGGCGATCCTGATGTATGGATGAAATTATGCGTTGTTATCATCTCTGTGAGTGTGAGCGTTGCATTTTTAATCCAAAGATTTAAATTGTGAACCATTGTGTGTGAATATGCAATCATTCTCTGTGTGAGGGCGTTTGAGTACCTTTGTTGAGCTTGAACTTGCATTTGAAGCAATTATTGTGAAACTGAGAATCTTTGAGTGCACAATTGATCCTTGCGTGAGTAGGTTGAGTCTTTCTATGTGTATTCACGATTGAGTCTTATGTAGCACTTTTTGAGACATCCCTTTTGAACTGCTGAACTTAAGTTTTATTTGAGGACAAACAAAATTTTAAGTTGGGGGTGTTGATGATTCCACGCTTTGGACTCATTTAGGGCTTTATTTTAATAGATTTAGTGTTCTCAAATGCATGTTTTGTGCTAATCAATGATGTAAAATCCCTCATTCTGAGGTATTTGGATTTATGAACGATGCATGGACACTAATGTGCAGAAAGGAACAAAGCAAGCTAAAAGAATGAAGAAGTGAAGACCTGATGATCGCTGATGTCATTCGGCGAATCGCCAAATTGCCACCATACCGCCTAAAGTTACAGAATGCTGGAGCTAAAATAGGGGTAATTTCAGCAAGTAATAGTTCCATTCGGCGTGTCGCCGATCTATTCGGTGGAGGACAACCAGGTACCCAAAAGTGTTGAAGAAGATTCAAGCAAGTGTTGATGGGCGAGATAGAAGGAAAAGGGGTGAATCAAAGAGTTATTCGGTGATCCCAATCTCGATCGCCTAAAGTTACAGTAGGTAGACCAAGAAGAAGTAAAAAATGAATGCGAGATGAAGAACAATCGGTGAGTCGCCGATCTGTCGGCAAAGCCCGACTTACCTCGCCGAATTGTCTTATACAGTGACACACCAAACTTGTTTAAATTAGTTTTGTTTAGAGAGAGAAAGTCATTCAGAAAATAGAAGCAATAGAAAATTCAGAGCAAAAACATCACCATTGTGGTTTTCAAGGGTCTTTAGAAAGATTCTTGGTTGATATTTTGTAATAGAGAAGAATTTGGTAATTTCTAACTTTCAAATTTCAATTACCCAGCTGTAGAAAATATGGTAGACACTGATTTTCTTATTTTTTCTATGAGTGGCTAAAACCCTCTTCTTGGGGTTTTGACTATGAAGCCAATTGTTGAATTTTACTAAGTGGGTATCATTGAATTGCAAATAATGGCGTTAATTTGAAGTGGGTCTGAGTTGCTTTGGTGTTTTGAAGTCGAGTTGCATGTTCAGTGTAACAAGTTCGGTGTTGTGCGCTAGCTCGAGAGAGATATGTAGAGCCAAAGTAGAAATCTTAGCATCCTTAGTAGTGGGTCACCGTGATTTTAGCTCGAGAGAGTGAAACATGGGATCTATCATTTTTATCCAGCTCGAGAGAGTGGATTTGATGAGGACCAAGGTCTGGGCATCTTTCGGTTAGTGTCGTAGTTTGAGAGAATTCGACATAGAAAAGGTAATTGCTCGAGAGAAAGTTACTTTACATATGATCCGACCTACCCACGACAAATTATCCTATTGCTAGCATTGATATTCACCCACTAAGTTAAAATTCGGCAATTGGTTGGTCATTACCCGAAGTTTTATTTTACTATTTGATCGTTTCATGTTGAAGTGTGAAATTGGAGTGATAATAGGATCCAGATAATTGAAACTAAAGCAAAGAAGGTAAAATACTCGCTAAAAGGAAGAGATTGCTCTCATATCTTCATCTTCGAATTTGAAGGAAAAACTACTCTATGTGGGATTCAACCTTACTCACTTAGTTGGGTTCTTTTACTACTTAACAATCGTTGACACTTAGTATTGGATGAAATGCCCTGATACGTTAATCAAAATGGCGCCACTGGTGGGGAAAATGAAACGATAAACCTTCACCAAGATATCATAAATTATTCCCACGGGATGTTTGATTGAACAGTCAGCCATTAGGAGTCTCAGTGTAGTTGTTTTTTGTTCACCCAACCCCAGTTGTTTGTATATCGCATAGGGCATCAGGTTGATGCTTGCCCCCAAATCGCATAGAGCTTTAGCGAATTGGAGCATGCCAATGGTGCAAGGAATGGGGAATTCCCCGGGATCTTCTCTCTTTTTTATCAGCTCCTTAGTCATAATTGAATTGCAACTAGGGGAAACTTCAATTGTCTCAAAATCCAGGATCTTTTTCTTTGTGACTAACTCTTTCAGAACTTGGCATATCCCGGCATTTCTAACAATGCCTCTACAAGGGGGATATTAATTGATAATGTCTTAAACACTGACAAGAACTTCTTGAACTTCACATCTTTTTTCTTCTTCTTTAAGTGTTGGGGAAATGGGGGAGATATTTTGGTTAAAGGTTGCATGACTTTTGGAATTTGAACGTGTTGTTCCACCTCCTTTTGTAGTTCTTTGGCAATGCTTTGATGGGTAAGTAACTCTTCTTCCTCCATGTCGTTATCTTCTTCATGCTTTTGAGCATCTTCATTTCTCATCACATTACCTATTGCCACCTTTACGCTACGAATAACCACAACCAGCCCTTTATCGTCATCTTTCATCGTCATATTTGGTTTCAATTGAGCTGATAATAAACTCAATTGTCCTTCAAGTATCTTGATGGCATCATCATAAGAGTTCACTTTATTGTTCAATAATGAAAAGTCATTTTTCATCCCTTACAACAAAATCATCTAAACCTTCAACTTTATCAAGTTTCTGTGACAATAAGTCATTCACCCGAGGACTGCTTGCACTCTTTTTTGATTTTGGGCTCTCACTCGATTGAGTATGGTTCTCATCATGATCATCTTCCCTTTTCCAATAATCATTTGCTCAGCCTAATCTTTGTAGTATCTCCTTTGTTTTTTTTTTTTACATAATTTGTGTTGATTTTGTAGGAGTTGGATCAAGAACGAGACAAAAGTGCTATTCATGAATCACCAAACTCGTTGGGTGAGAACAATTTGGTCCTCCTTAAGGACCTCAAAAATAGGGCTGACACTCTGAAATATTTGGCGGGATACCTTCACCATTCAGCGGGTCGCCAATGTGCTTAAGCGACCCGACTTTCCTCGCCCTTTTTCTTTAACTTTGATAACATTCCCCAAGGATCATCTGGCGATATTATGAGTCCATTCTGCGAGTCACCAAATTGTTCGGCGACCTCCTGCATATTCGCGGCTCTTCCCTTCTCTGAGAGTGCAGCCCACTGGAACTAACAGCGATCTGAAGAACATTGGATGCATCGCCGAAACATTCTGCGACTGGTTCACCCTCTCCACAACTGGACGCTTAGTGAAGATTCCTCATTACCATATTCTATTAGCTTAAACACTAGAATGTTATCATTTCTTGTTAATCTTTCTTTATTATTCCTATTTTGTTTTACTTGCGGTGATGCCCGCTCTCTACCCACATTGAGGACAATGTTGAATGCTTTTGCTACGGGCTGGCAATTGGTTAGTGAACCCCCTCCTCTTTGTGCCACCTCTCTTATTTATGTTTAAATGTGGTTTTTCTCTTGCAAATTTGAGTATCAGTTTTGATCAACATCGATGACTTGAAAAGTGCTCATAATCGAACAAAAATGAATGTGCAGCTACGATGAGGCCAAATGAAGTTGTATAGATAATATGTGAACTTTTTGCATCTCGTTTTGACTAGCCAAGTATCGAATTGAGTCTCTTGTGATGAGCATTGCACAATAGTAAAAGTGTGGAGTCTTTTTTGACATTGGTGTTAATGCCTTGTGTGATGAGCTTACCGTGAACCATGTATGATGACACCTAGAATTTTCCCCATTGGTCCGGTTGACTAAGTGATGCAATCTCTTAATATGATCTTAGGCAACTTTGAAGAGTGTGAAATAATTTGATATTATACCTCTTTTTTGGCCTACCTTGTGAGTGTGTGAACCCCGTTTAAACACCCTTTGAGCCTTAGCCTTTTCGTGGAAGAAACTTGATGAAATTGTGACCTTTCTTGACCCATTACCCATAATCCTTATGATTTGTGGTTTATTTGAATATACAACTTAGGTGAAAAGCCTAAGTTGGGGGGGTATGGTGAAAAGAGAAGGTAAATCATGAAGTGCAAGAAAGTCCCCTTTGACCCATTATTTTGAGAAAAATAGAACCCCTCCTTATATATATAAAAAAGAGTAAAAGAAGAAAAGAATGAAAAAGTTGTGCAATAAAGTTGTGAAAGTGCAAAGAAAATGGGGTATCCAAGAAATCCATGGAAGATGAATAATGGGGTGACTTTTGAACAAGAATTAGAATGATGAAGAAAAGGAAAGAAAGTGTTGTTCACACCACATGTCATGAGAATTACAACTATTGAGCTTAAATGATCATACATTTGAACTCTGCCGCGTTACAAGCCTTGAAATAACCTTTTTAATTTTGAGTGAGCTGTAACAAGGGTTGATTGGAAAATACGGGTAAACTTATAGGTGGAGTCATGCATTGTGTTCATCTTTGTGAGTGTGAGCGTTGCATTTGATTCCAGAGCTTTAAAATTGTGAACCATTGTGTGTGAATATGTAATCATTCTTTGTGTGAGTGCATTTGAGTACCTTTGTTGAACTTGAATTTGCATTTGGAGCAAGTATTGTGAGCTTGAGATTCTTTGATATTGGTAAGTCCCAAATTGAATCTTTGAGTGCACAATTGATCTTCGCATGAGGAAGTTAAGTCTTTTTGTGTGCATTCATGATTGAGTCTTCTGTAGCACTATTTAAGACATTTCTTTTGAACTGCTGAACTTGAGTTTTACTTGAGGACAAGCAATTTTTTATGTTGGGGGTGTTGATGAGTCCACGATTGGGACTCATTTAGGGATTCATTTTAATAGATTTAGTGTCCTCAAATGCATGTTTTGTGCTAATGAATGATGTAAAATCCCTGATTCTCAAGTATTTGGATTTATGAACGATGCTTGGACACTAATGTGCATAAAGGAACAAAGTAAGCTAAAGGAATGAAGAAGTGAAGACCTGATGATCGTCGATATATGTTATTCGGCGAATTGCCAAATTGCCACGATACCACCTAAAGTTACAGAATGCTGGAGCTAAAATGGGGGTAATTTTAGTGAGCAGCAGTTCCATTCGGCGTGTCACCGATCTATTCGGCGAAGGACAACCAGTTCGCCAAAATTGCTGAAGAAGATTTAAACAAGTGCTAATGGGCGAGATAGAAGGAAAAAGGGAGAATCGCGGAGATATTTGGCGATCCTGATCTGGATCGCCTAAAGTTACAGTAGCCAGACCAAGAAGAAGTGAAAAATCAAGGCGAGATGAAGAACAATCGGCGAGTCACCGATTTATCGGCAAAGCCCGACTTACCTCGCCGAGTGGTCTTAAATAGTGACACACCAAACTTGTTTAAATTTGTTTGTCCTAGAGAGAGAAAGTCATTCAGAAAATGGAAGAGGTAGATAATTGAGAGTAAAAACATCACCATTGTGGTTTTCAAGGGTCTTTAGCTAGATTCTTGGTTAAGATTTTGTAATAGAGAAGATTTTGGTGATTTCTAACTTTCGAATTTCTATTACCCAGCTGTAAAAAATATGGTAGAAGTTGATTTTCTTATTTTTGCTATGAGTGGCTAAAATCCTCTTCTAGACGTTTTGACTATGAAGCCAATTGTTGAGTTTTACTAAGTGGGTGTCGTTGAATTGCAAATAATGGCATTAATTTGAAGTGGGTCTGAGTTGCTGCTGTGTTTTGAAATCGAATTGCGTGTTAAGTGTAACAAGTTCGGTGTTGTGCGCTTGTGAGAGAGAGAGGTGTAGAGCCAAAGTAGAAATATTAGCATCCTTAGTAGTGGGTCACCATGATTTCAGCTTGAGAGAGTGAAACATGGGATCTAACCTTTGTATTCAGCTCGAGAGAGTGGATTTGAAATGAAGACCAAGGTCTAGGCATCTTCCAATTAGTGTCGAAGTTCTAGAGAATTCGACATAGAAAAGGTAATTATTCAAGAGAAAGTTACTTTACATATGGTCCGACCTGCCCACGACAAATTATCCTATTGTGAGCATTGATATTCACCCACTAAGTTAAAATTCTACAATTGGTAGGTCATTACCCCAAGTTTTATTTTACTATTTGATCATTTCGTGTTGAAGTGTGAAATTGGAGTGATAATAGGATCCAGATATTTGAAACTAAAATCAAAAAGGTAAAATACTTTCTAAAAGGAAAATATAGATGTCATATCTTCATCTTCGAAATTGAAGGAAAACTACTCACTGTGGGATTCGACCCCAACTCACTTAGTTGGGTTATATTACAACCTAACGATCGTTGGCACTAAGTATTGGATGAAGTATCCTGATACGTTAATCAAAATGGAGCCTCTGCCGGGGAAAATGAACCGATCAACCTTCACCAAGATGTCATAAAGTATCCCCACGGGATGTTTGATTGAGCGGTCAGCCATTAAGAGTCTCATTGTAGTTGATTTTGGTTCACCCAACCACAGTTGTTTGTATATCGCATAAAGCATCAAGTTGATACTTGCCCCTAAATCGCATAAAGCTTTAGCGAATTGGAGCATGCCATTGGTGCAAGGAATGGTTAATGCCTCGGGATGTTCTCTCATTTTTATCAGTTCCTTAGTCATAATTGCACTGCAACTATGGGAAACTTCAATTGTCTCAAAATCCAAGATCCTTTTCTTTGTGACTTACTATTTCATGAACTTGACATATCTCAGCATTTCTAACAATGCCTCCATAGGGGGGAGATTAATTGATAATGTCTTAAACACCAACAAGAACTTCTTGAACTTCTCATCTTTATTCTAGTTGTTTAACCGTTGGGGAAATGGGGAAGGTATTTTGGGTAAAGGTTGCATGACTTTTGGAATTTGAACGTGTTGTTCCACCTCCTTTTGTGGTTCTTTGGCAATGCTTTGATGGCTAAGTAACTCTTATTCCTTCATGCCTTTATCTTCTTCATGCTTTTAAGCATCTTCATTTCCCATCACATTACCTATTGCCACCTTTCCGCTACGAGTAACCACAACCAGCCCTCTATCATCATCTTCTATCGTCATCTTTGGTTTCAATTGAGCTAATAATAAACTCAATTGTCCTTCAAGTATCTTGATGGCATCGGCATGAGAGTTCACTTTACTGTTCAATAATGAAAAGTCATCATTCATCCCTTTCAACTAATCATCTGAACCTTCATTTTTATCAAGGATGCGTGACAACAAGTCATTCACCAGGGGACTACTTACACTCCCTTTTTTGATTTTGGGCTCTGACTCGAGTAAGTATGGTTCTCATCATGATCATTTTCCCTTTTCCAATAATCATTTTACTCAGCCCAATCTTTATAGTATCTCCTTTTTTTTTTCTTACATAATGTGTGTTAATTTTGGAGAAGTTGGATCATGAGCGAGACAAAAGTGTTATTGGCGAGTTGCCGAACCCGTTCGGCAAGCCCAATTTGGTCCGGCTTATGGACCTCAAAAAAGAGGCTGAGACTCTGGAATATTTGGTGGGATACCTTCACCATTCGGTGGGTCGTTGATGTGCTTAGGCGACCCAA